GGAGAGGAGAGGAGAGGAGAGGAGAGGAGAGGAGAGGAGAGGAGAGGAGAGGAGAGGAACACAAGCATAGCAGAACTTCTGGTCAGAGCCATAGTGGAACAGGAGATGGAACTCCAGGCAAACAGGGGACAGTGACAGTCCAACCATGAGTCACAAAGTTACCCCGCCCTCTGAGCTGGGGATCTCAGGAGGAGGCTTCGGGACATGATCTTGTGAAAATAAAGCCTAACACCAGCAAACCACATTATCAGTCAGCCCTCCCTTAATGTGAGGAATGCCAGAGGAAAATGTAGGTTTTTAAGTTTTTATTTGTTTGTTTGTTTTTTGAGACAGGGTTTCTTTGTAGCTTTGGAGCCCATGCTGGAACACATTCTGTAGACCAGGCTGGCCTCAAACTCACAGAGATCCACCTGTTTCAGCCTCCTCAGTGCTGGAATTAAAGGCATGCGCAACCCCTGCCCAGCAGCAAATGCATATAAAGAAGACAAGAATTATGGCCCAGTTTTGGAGAGTTCAGCTTGTTCAGCTAACACTGCTGCTCTATGGTAAGGGTGGTGGAGCAGAGATCCTCACCTCAAATCTAATGCTAAAGAGAGAAAGGGAAAACACTGGCCCCAGTTCCCTTCAAGAACACTGCCTTTCCTAGACCCAAGTAGAGGGCCTTAGCTCACATGGGCTTGGTGAACTCACAGAACAGAGAACTTTCTTCGACCCAAAGTCTAAGAGGAAGTTAGAAAGGGAAGAGCATCTTGTAGCTGTCTCCTGAAAACATTCCTTTTTGGACAGAAACTTAAGACTCAGGCAACTTACAAGACTCAGGAAGTTCAGAAAGTTACATGACTCACAGGACCCTCCCCGGGTTTATAAAAGCAGTTAACATTTGCTGGGGAGAGATGGTTGGTGCTGCCTGCAGTCTGCGTGGAGAGCTCCAGGGGTACAGTTTACATGACTCTGTCACCCCTGTTGGGGTGACTGCTCTGTGATTCAGCCACCTCTGAGTCACCACTGATCCTACAAATTGCACCAATAAATTCAGTGGTTCACCAAGATGAATGCCCGGTTTTATAAGGTGTCAGGGTTTGAACCCAGAGCTTTGTACATAGTAGGCAAGCCCTCTACTGACTGAGCTACATCTACACAACACACTGATGCCTGAAACACAGCTCTGTGGCACAGGGATGTAGGCCAGCAACACAACAAGGATGTAAAGAACCTTTGGTGTCACTGCGCGTAGCACCAATAGAGATCTAGAAGCCTGGACCTTGGTGGCGGTTCACTGCTTTAATCCCAGCACTGCAGCGGCAGGGGAATCTATGAATTCCACAAGCCAGGGCTGCACACTAAGATCCTGTTTTAAGCTCCCCCCTCCCCAGTCCCAGATCTCCATATATTTAGTTTCAGGATTGGAGAGAGATGGCTCAATGGTTAAAAGCACTTGTTGCTCTTCCAGAGGATCTAGGTTCAGTTTGCATCACCCATATGGCTGGTCACACCCTTTCTTAACTCCAGGTCCAAAGGGGTTCAGTGCCCTCTTCTGGCCTCAGTAGGCACTGCGTGCAAGTAGAACACAAATATAAATGCAAGAAAACACCTGCACACATATAAAATTCTATTTCTTTTGAAATATAATAGATTTCATCACAGAAGAAATTAAATAGAATAATACTTCTGAAAATATCTGTGTGGGACTGGGAGGATGGTTCAGTAGATAAAACATTTCCTGATGTTTGGATTCCCAGAATCCAAGCAAAACCAAACCAAACCAAAACTGGGGCCTGGAGAAGTGGCTCGGAGACTGAGTACTCTCAGGTTGTTGTTCCGGAGGACCTGGATTGGATTCCCAAGCCTCTGGGATTCCCCTCCAGTTCCAGGGGATTGATCTGACACTCTCTTCTGGATTCTGTGGGCACCAGTCACACACGTGGTACATAGACATACATGCAGGCAAGACACCCATACACATCAAAACAAAGCAAAACAGAAACTGGACAGACACAGCAGTTGCCTATGGTCCCAGCCCTTGGGAGACAGAAGTAGGATCCCCTGGGAAAGCTGGCTGACAAGATGAGTCCCAGGTCATGCCTTCCAGCTTGACTGGAAGACCTTGCCTCATAGATGGCGTGGAGATTGACTGAGGAAGACGTGGTGCTGGCTAGTTCATGTCAACCAGATACAGGCTGGAGTCATTGGAGAAGAGGGAGCCTCAACTGAGAACTGATGGTTCCCATAAGATGGGGCTGGATGCCAGGCTGTGGCGGTGCACACCTTTACTCCCAGCACTAAGAGGCAGATGCAGGCGGATCTCTGTGAATTTGAGACCAGCAGGGTCTACAAATCTAGTTCTATGACAGCCAAGGCTACAAAGAGAAACTCTGTTTTGAAAAACAAAACAGCATCAACAACAAAAACAAACAAACAAACAAAAAACCCAATCAAACAAAAAAAAGATGGATCTGTAGGAAAGAAAATGTAGGGCATTTTCTTACTTAGTGATTGATATGAGGGGGTTTAGATCATTGTGGTGGGAGCCCCCCTCCCCCCGGGGCTGGTGTCCTGGGTTCTATAAGAAAGCAGACTGAGCAAGCCATGAGGAGCAAGCCAGCAGGCAGCACTCCTCCATGGCCTCTTCATCTGCTGCCGCCTCCATGTTCCTGTCCTGTTTGAGTTCCTGTCCTGACTTCCTTCAACCATGGACAGTGATGTGAAAGTCTAAGCCAAGTAAACCCTTTCCTTTCCAAGTAGCTTTGGTCATGGTGTTTGATCACAGCAATGATGACCATAACTAAGGCAACTGTAGGCCCCACATGCATGTGTGCATTCGTGTATACATATACATTCACCAATAATACACATTCAGACATGAATACAAACATGCATGTATGCACCTAGCAGCTGGCTTACTTGGAAGCCTGGAAACCGTTGAAGCAAAGGGTTTCGGCTATAAACTGGGATAAACTGGACAAGTTCCTGAAGACACGGTGGTACACATCTTTTATCCAGCATTTGGGAGGCAGAGGCAGGTGGGTCTATGACCAAGACCAAGCTGAACCTCAAAGTGAGCTCTAGGCCAACCAGAGCTATAGAGTTACTTTTTTCCCTTGCCTCTCTAAGCATTGCGGAGAAAGCAGAAGCTGTAAGGGAAAGACTCAATGCTTTACTACGCATTCCAACTCCTGCAAACAAATTCAAGTGTCAGACAACAGATTGAGAATGGACATTTGCGATGCATATAATGAAGCAATAGTCGTTATCTATAATGTGCAAAATGTTCCTAAAAATCAGCAAGACAAACAACCCAGGAGAATGATAGGCTGCGCTCTAAAAGAACGCATGTCTCATCCTCAGTCAAACTAACAAAAGCTGAAAGCAGCACTATTCCTCATTTAGCTGACTGGTCTTTAAAAAGTTTCCCAGACAAGAACAGTAATATTCAGCCAGCAGCAAACTGGGGATCCTCTTACATGGTGGGCGGGAGCATAAAGTGACACAATGTAGCTCAGGCTGGCCCCAAAGTCTTTTGTAGCTGAGATGGCCTTGACCTTCTGACCCTCCTGCCTCTGTCTCCAGAGTGGTGGGATGACAGGTGCACACTACGTGTCTGGATCATGTGATGCTTCACACGGAACCCAGGGCTGTGTGTGCTAAGCAAGCGCTCTACCAGCTGAGCTATACCCCAGCCCAAGCAGCTTTGAGAAAGTACATATCTCTATACACACATACATATACACACATATATACACATATAAATACCTATAATACCTGTATGCATGCACACATATATACATATACACATCTATGGATACCTGTATACACACAAGCATATATACATATAATGCATAGTTATGCATTCCTGTATATACATATATGCACATATACATATATACAATATACATATCTATGCATTCCTCTATACACATACAATATACACTTATCAATGCAAAACTATGCACACATATATGTGCATACACATGTATACATACACATATCTATGCATAGCTGTATATACACACATGTATACATACATATAAACATCAGTGCATACCTATATACACATACACATGTATACCTAATGCACATATACATGTCTGTGTATACCTGTATGATCATACACAATACCTGCATATACATATCCATGCATACCTGTATATATACACACATGTGCATACATATATACACATGTACACATGTACGCAATCTTTATACACATGTGCATATACAATATATATCAATGCATAACTACACAATACACACATGTACATATACATATGCATAT